GCAGTGGGAGGGATGGTGACCGGGAAGCCCCTTCCTCTGGACCAGGAGCAGTGGGACGACGGCTCAGAAGTCCCTACCTCTGGGCCGGGAACAGTGGGACTCAGTACCTTGGTCTGGTGGTCTGGTGTCCTCTGTGTCTTTGCAGTGTGGAATCAGGCTGTCTGTCTGCAGCGGGCTGATTCGGCATGTGTTCCGCGCGACTGGGGACCTCGATAGTGTGTCGGCAGACCTGCCTGTCTTTAAGTTTCTTTCTTCAGTGTTCTAAAATTTTTATTGTAGAGGTCTTTCATCTCCTTGCTTAGATTGTTCCCTATTTTATTTTTTTGTGAAGCTGTTGGGAATATATTTGTTTTCCTGATTTCATTCTCAGTGGGTTCATTACTGATCTGTTGGAAAGCTGTTGATTTTTGTTTTAATATTATATCCTGCTGATTCATTTTAAACTCAAGTTTAGCAAATATTTATTCAGCTTCTTCTGTCTGACAGGCATAGTGCCATGGTGCTAGGCAATGGAGAATATATAGTTACCTTTCAAGAATTCCACAGCTTGGTAAGTAGAGTGTGCATCTAAAAATGAAATACCACTAAGACTGAGATACATGCTAAATTAGTGATGTCAGGGACTGGGTGAGTGAGATGGGTGGGTAGGGAGGAAGAGTTAGGGAAGGAAGCAATGAACAGCTATGGTAGTGGTGCTGCTTAGTGGTAGTTATAACTTTTTGTCCAGGTTTGGAGAAAACAGGTTCTGTAATTGGGCAAAGAAACAAGAAGCACTTAGTGTAAAACCTGACATTGGTAGTGCCTTTTTAAAAAAAATTGATTAAGTTGGAAGGTGTCTTAGATCCCATAGTTTAGATCAACTGGTCCAGCACTTGTATATCATTAATAATGAATAATTAGATCAGAAAGGATCTTAGGTTTCTGATTACTCAATTTAGGAACTTTGAAAACAAAAAACCAAACCAATCATGTAGATTAATGCCTAACTGCTTTGCTGGTTAAGGTCTTTTATATATTTAATTTTTTTGTTTTTTGCTTTTTGAGACAGGGTTTTGCTGTGTAGTTCAGGCTGGCCTTGAACTACATAGGCCTCAAACTCATGGCAGTCCTCCTGCCTCAGCCTCCCAAGTGCTGGGATTACAGGCATGCTGTATATTTAATATTGATTAAATTTTTGTGCTGGGTTGGGGTTTGGGCTAGTTTTGGGTAGAACATCTAATTAGAATATCTAATACTTTTTGTTGACTATCTTTGTCTACAGGTATTGGAAATCAATAGCTCTTCTGGCTTTTCTATTATTTAAATATATATAATAGTGTCATCCGACTATGTTTCTGATGCCAGCCTCTTCAGAACTAAACAATGAGCAGAACTTCCTAACCCAATGGATGACCAGTCCTTCTCGTGCTGGGGTCATATTAAATCGTGGATTTCCTATTTTGGAAACAGATGAAGAGAAGCAAGCAGCTACAAATACTTCTACTAGCTTTCCTATTAAAGCTACACATTTTTCAAACAGTTTCAGCTTTATCAGTGAAGAAGATTCACTTCATGAAGAACAGAAGTTGGAGTCTAGCAGCCCTTATATATTACAGTCAGAAAAATCAGAAGCCCATACAGTCTTGCCTTTAATTAAAAAGGGACCACAAATAGTGGCATGTCAGGATGTTCCTGGAGATCAGAAAGATGACAAAAGTGACTTTATGTCCAATCTTGCTAGTGAATTCAAAGAAGTGGCTTATAAAGACCCACTTTTTAAAAAGCTTGAACAGGTACAATAGGATTTGGCTTAATATGTATTAGCATGTTTGAAGATACTATGTAATTGCAAGTCTCCTATTTCAGACACTCTATTTCTGTCCTTTACTCTGAAATCCTCAAAATACCAGATTTTGCTTTTTATCAGTGTGAAACATTAAAATGTATTTAATATGTAAGATATAACTAACATTTAAGATGACTTCATGTTTTTATGACTTCGTGTCTTTAAATTGCTACCTCATTTGGTAAAAGGTGGCTGGTCAAATAAGAGGAAAAAAAAAGAGTTGATGATGTCCTCATATCCACCCTTTTGTAAGACTCGAAGGATTCATAAGACTGTTTCTAGTTGAGATACCTGAAATAATTTCCTCAGAAGAAACTGGATTGTAGGGATTTGGTGGCAGATTTAGTTACGGCAGAATGGATCTCTCTAAAACTCTTCATCAGGGAAGATACAAGAAGGGAGATGGAGGCATTAAGATAAATGTAAGGAGCAAGGATCCCTGAAGAAGTATAGTTAGTCTAATAAATTTAATTTTATGTTTAAAAAGCTGAAAGAAGTACAGCAGAAAAAGCAGGAACAACTGAAGAGGCAACAGTTAGAGCAACTGCGGAAGCTCATGGAAGAACAGGAGAAGCTGCTTACTATGGTGTCTGGGCAGCACATGCTTGCAGGTATGTTTTGCTTACATGGAGCCTTTGGTTAGTATGACGAGAGAGTTATATACCTTTAATTATCCGCTGTTATTTCTACCATTTCTGTATCATATTTGGCAAATTCCAGTATCGTCAGGGCCAGTTAGACTAGTGTGACTTGTTCATGGTATAATATGACTGGGACACGTAGGAGCTGAGTGTGCCAGGGCCTGAGCTATGCGCCCAAGCTAACATTTATTTATTAACAAAATCCAGGCTTTGTGGCACATGCCTGTAATCCTAGCTACTCAGGAGACTGAGGAAAGAGAATTGCAGGTTTGACGCCAGCCTAGGCAACTTCATGAGGCACTGTCGCAAAGTTAAAAACATTTTGAGGGCCAGGGTTGTAGCTCAGTGGTTCTGCTGCCTGCCTCACAAGCGCAATGTCCTGAGTTCGATCCCTGGTACCAAAAAAAAACCATTTTGAAAGGGCTAGCTGGCAAATAAACCCATTAACTTTGGGTGTCGGGTATTTTGTCTCAGCAGTGAGAGAAAAGTAACTAAGACACCTAGCATGGACCAGGTTCTGGGCTTGATCCCCAGTACTGAAAAAGTAAAGTAAGTAAAATATTCCTCTACTTTTTCCAATTACAGATCCATGTCAGGCTGAAATTTTTTTTTTTTTAGTGCTGGGGATTGAACTCGGGTCCTTGCACTTGCGCAGCAGGTGGTGAAACCATTGAGCTAAATCCCCGGCCCTAGCTGAAATTTTTTAAACCAAAACAACATAATTCATGAAACTGAGTGCAAAAGTAGATGATGAGAATCGGCTGGGTTCTTTTAAGCCAGAAGTTAAAAATAATTCTAAAGTATAAAATAATCCCTTTCTTCCCATTTTTTTTGCATTAGGAAAGATTTTTCATTAAAAATCTTATTTTATGATAAATGCAGTTGTTTTATTTCTACTGAGTTTGTTTTTAAATGTCTTAGTTTTAATTTATAATACAATAAGTTTGTATAGTTTGTAGAGGTTTCAGTCCATAATCAGCTGGCTCCAAGGCAGAGTTGTGTGGCAGTCAGAGGCATCATAGAGGCATCATAGAGGAGAAATAGTTAATGGTGATCAAAAAGTAGCAAAAGTAACAAGAGACCTTAACAGCATCTTTCTGCCCCTTTTATTCAGACTACTTAGGGCAGATAGCACTCATGCCCTTAATCCTAGTGCCCTTGGGCCTAGCCCAAAATGAATCAGTCACACACTCTAGATTCAGGCACCTCTGAAAAAGAGTGAGGCTTTGGTAGGGACATCTAAACACAAGCCATAATACTAGGCAAATGCGCTACCACCAAGTCCCAGCCCTCTTTTTTCTTCTTTTGTGGTAATTAAAGTCAGGGTCTTGAGCACCATGGGCATGCACTTTTTCATCGAGTTACATCCCCAGCCCTTTTCTTTTTGTTTGTGTTGAGACAGGGCCTCGAATTTATGATCCTCTCTGCTTTAGCCTCCTGAGTAGGTGGGACTATTGGCAGAGAGTATTTTAATAGCCTTTTCAGATAATTATGATTATTCTTGTTTGCTTTGTATCTTAATCTACAAGTGATGATTTATTTGTGGTGGAAGGGATTGAAGAACCCATACTGAGGCACACCCTTATCTCCCCTACATTTGGCTATTTCTTAGTGGTTTTTGTATTGACAGTATAAAATTTGAAACCATGTTAATCAACTTTAAAAATTTTAATGTAATACAAGTAGATATTAATGAAATATAAAAGCATTTCTATGAAAAAATAATTTTTCATAACAAAAATAGAGAATAACAATGGTGACTACACTATCATGATCTTAAAAGAATATATTTTCAGGCCGGGGATTTACCTCAGTGGTTTCACCGCCTGCTGAGCAAGCGCAAGGACCCGAGTTCGATCCCCAGCACTAAAAAAAAAAAAAAAAAAGAATATATTTTCAATTGCTAATCTGTCTTTCAACTAATTTCCTAATGATACTATACCTTTTTTGTTTGCATAAAACAATTTTAATAATTAACGAAGTATCTCACACTTAGTATAATTTTGAACAATTTCTTATTTCACAATATCTCATACACATTTTCTTCTTTATTTACACTTTCAGTTTCTCACACCAGAGAAACAATGCAATATTTACACATGTGTTTGATTTTATTTCACTTCAAAGTATAGTTTCAAGGTACATCCATTTACCTAAAAAGGGCTCAAGTTTATCCTTCTTTATGGCCGAATAGTATTCTGTTACATTAAAAAAAACCCACCTCTTTTTTATCCATTCATCAGATGATAGGCATTTCAGTTGTTTCCGAGATTTAGCTATTGTAAACTGTGCTGCTGTAAACATGGATGTGCATATATCGCTGTGGTATGATGCATTGAATTCTTTTTTTTGGTACCCGGCATCGAACTCAGGTCCTTCTGCTTGTGAGGCAGGCATTGAATTCTTTAGGGAAGATACCCATAAGGGGAATAGCTGGCTCAAATGGGACCTCTAGTCCTAGTTCTTTGAGTTATCTCCATACTTATTTTGACAGTGGTTGCACCAGTCTACACTCCCACCAATAGTGGAGAAGCATTTCTTTCTCCCCACAGCCCTGCCAGCATTTGTTGCTGGTTGATTTCATGATAGCAGCCATTCTTTCTGAGGTGAGATGGAATCTCAGCATTGTTTTCATTTGCATCTCTCAAATGACCAGTGATGTTGAACATTTTTTAATGTATTTATTTGCTGTTTCTACTTCTTCATCTGAGGAGGATCTGTTCATTTCAGATGCCCATTTTGGGGTTGAGTCTTTAAATTTGTGGAGGCTGAATTTTTCAGTTCTTTATATGTTCTAGATATTAGTCATTTGTGTGAGGAACCACTAGCTAATATTTTTTTCCACTCTGTGGGTTGTCTTTTCACTCTGTTGGTGATTTTGTTTGCTGTGTAAAAGCTGTGTAATAAGATGAAGTCCCAGTTGTTGATTCTTTGTGATATTTCCCATGTGATCGAGGTTTTGTTTATAAAGTCTTTGCCTACATCAATGTCTTCAAGAGTTCTGTCCTTAGGCCTTTGATCCATTTCAATTTTAGTTTAGTGGATGGTGAAAGATAATGGGTTTAGTTTTAATCTTTGGCATGTGGAAATCCGGTTTTCCCAGCATCATTTATTAAAGAGGTCTTTCTACCTGTGAAGGTGTTTGACTCCTTTCAGTCCAAAGATAAGATGGCTGAGTGTGTCTGAGGTTGTTTCTACATCTTCTAATCTGTTCCACTGATCCTCAGGGCTGTATTTTTTGGCCAGTACCTGCTGTTTTTATCTTGGTAGCTCCGTCGCATAATTTCAAGTCAGGGATTGTGATGCTCCCTGCCTTGCCTTTGTTGCCCAGAATTGTTTTTTGCTATTCTAGGTTTCTTCTGGTTCCAAATGAATTTTAGGAATGATTTCTCTGGTCTGTGGGGTATGCTAATGGTATTTTGATTGGGGTTGCATTAAATCTGTGTAACAATTTTGGGAATATGGCCATATTGATTCTTCCCGCCCATGAGCAAGGGATAGCTTTCCATTTTGAAGTCTTTTTCAATCTCCTTTTTCAGAGTACTGTAATTTTCAATGTAAAGATGTTTTACTTTCTTTGTGAGACTGATTCCTAAGTATTTCATGTTTTTGGATGCTATTGTGAAAGGTATTGTTTCTCTGTGGTGGTTTTTTTTTTTTTTTTTTTTTGTACTGGGGATTGAACTCAGGTCCTTGCACTTGTGCAGCAGGCAGTGAAACCACTGAGCTAAATCCCCAGCAAGCTATTGTTTCTCTAATTTCTCTCTCAGTGACCTTGTTATTCGTATACAGGAATGCTATTGAGTGTTGACTTTGTATCCAGCTACTCTGCTGAATTTAGTTATTATATCTAGAAGTCTTTTGGTGGAGTTTTTGGGGTCTTCTATGTGGAGGATCATGTCATCTGCAGATAATCATAATTTAACTTCTTCCTTTCCTGTCATTCGTTTTATTTCTTTGTCTTGTCTAATTGGTCTAGGTAGTGTTTTCAGAACTATATTGAACAAGAGTGGTGACAGTGGATATCCTTGTCTCGTTGCTGATTTTAGAGTGAAAGCTTTCAGTTTTTGTTCATTTAGTATGATGTTGGCTGTTGGTTTGTCAGAGATGGCTTTTATCAGATTGATATAAAGACCTTCTATTCTAATTTTCCATAGGGTTTTTATCATGAATGGATGTTGGATTTTGTCAAATGCTTTTTCTGGGTCTATTGAGATGATCATGTGATTTTTGTCTTTGGCTTTCTTGATATGATGTATTAAATTTATTGATTTGCATATGTTGAACCATCCCTGCATCCCTGGGATGAATCCTACTTGGTCATGGTGTATATATAATCTTTTTAATGATTTGCTGCATTCTGTTTGCCAGTATCTTATTGAGGATTTTTCCATCTATATTCATTAGAGAAATTGGCCTATAGTTTTCTTTTTTGGTTGAGTCCTTCTCTGGTTTTGGTATCAGGGTAATACTTCCAGGAATTATTTTGGGACCATTGATTCCCTTTCAATTTTACTGAAGAGTTTGAAAAGTAGTAGCATTAGATCTTCTCTAAATTTCTTGTAGAATTCATCAGTGAAACCATTAAGATGAGGGCTTTTCTTGGTTGGTAAGTTTTTAATTACGTTTTCAATTTCATTGACTGATATTGGGTTATTTAGAATTTTAATATCTTCTTGATTCAGCTTTGGTAATTCATATTTATCTAGGAATCTATAATATGTATGTAGGAACCTGTCCATTTCTGTGTTTTCCATTTTACATCTTACAGGTTCTCGAAGTAGGTATTGATGATCTTCTGGATTTCTACAGGATCTGTTGTGATTTTACCCTTTTCATTCTTAATTGCCTGAATCTGAGTCTTTTCCTTCTTTGCCTGAGAGATTATTTTCTCTGTAACCTCATGCATTTTTTTTTTTTTTTTTTTTACTTGTATCATTTCAGAAAATTCAGGTGGGTGACTTCTGATTTCCTCTATCTCATTTTCCCCTGGACTTGTCCTAGATGGGCTGGAGGTCTGGGATTTGCATTTTGCTTCTGGGTCTTGTCATTTTCTATTTTTGTTTTTGGTTTTATTTTGTTTTCTGTGTTGATGCTTGTAAATTTCTTATGGCAGATAGCTTTATCACTAGTATGGAGTTTTCCCTAGGAAATACCTATTCCTCAGAGATGTATTCTGGGTATATGTGGGTCTTTGTCCTTATGTCTGTTCCAAGATCCTACCTTTCCAATTTATTAAGGATCAGAAGTTGCTGTTTACTTGGTTCAGCACCCAGTCTTTTGGTATTGGACTGTGGTGATGGTTATGGCTCCAGACTATCCCAGTGTTGTCATACAAGGGAGCACTGATTACAACAGGTATGACATCCTGGTAAAGTAGTACAACTAGCAATATGAATAGCATTAAGCACAGGCTAGAAACTGACAACTGTGGTAAGTATTAATTTGGTACCTTTGACCACAGGAGCAAGATCTACAGTTACATAACACAATCCAACATAAACCAGGAGCTTGTATGCAGTGAATTTTCCCTTAGTGGAGTGATTTTACCCTCTGTGGGGGGGATTTTGAGAGAGATAGGAGGCAAAACAGAGAGATAAATGAAGGGACATGTAGTAGAGGCAAGGGTGAAGGACAACAGATGATCACCCAATATTTGGGGAGCTGGAGGAACAGGGCAGGAGAGAAAGCATGAAGGATAAAGCAGAACAGTGAACCAGAGAGATAAGAGAAGATTTTCACTCATAAGAAAATATCATAAACTCAGAGAGATAGTTGAGGAAAGAGAGAAAGAAGATGAGTAGTGCAAGATAAAAATAAAGGTAAAATCCTAAACAACAACAACAACAACAACAAAACCAACCAGCCAGAAAAAAGGAAACAAAACCAACAAAAAAGAAAAAAAAATTCCTTTAGAATCCACAGTTCTATCTGAGGCAGGTAATGTCCCAAAACTGTGCTGTGGACTCCCACCAAGTCTGCAGTAGGATTAGTGCTGGGTACTGGGTTGATGATCTTGTGGGAGCTGTGGCCAGTCGTTAGCCAGCAGCTTTTTGGATGTTTCTCTCTGGCCCACCCAAGCCTCCTAATTGTGCATTACTGTGGTGCTTTCAGGCAGGAATAGCCCAGGGCTGCTCCCAGTCCTGTGTACAGTTGGCTCCACTTGGTCTTTGCATAGCCTCTTCTGTTTTACCCCACCGGTGCTTTTCTATCTTGTCCTGCCACTTGTGGGCGGGTGGGGGTGGGGTGGGGGTGCTGTCCCCACTGTGAATACAGCCCAAGGCTCCTTGGTCTCTTCACTGTCTTCGACCTGAGGTTGCCCAAATCCCGAGAATGCATCTGGGCCTTTGTCTCAAGCCACTGGTCGACAGACAGTCGATTCTTTCCCCACATCTGCTACCATGCGGTCTCCAACTTTGGAACACATGACACAGGGGAGGGAGCAGATTTCTGGTCACTCAGCTCTGTGTTTGCCAGCTAAATCTCCTGCCAGGGTGCGGTATCCTTTGTGTGGAGGAAAGCAGAAGAGACAAGAGGCCTTCTTTCCCAAGTCTAGCCTGTGTGGCTTGAGTTAGCTCACACCTTTTCATCCCACCAGTTTCTCGGGGACTTTCCAGTATGGTGATTCTTGCTTAGTGGTTCCTGTGCCACTGATAGCCCTGTGGGCTGATGCATTGTTTTATGAAGTTCCATGCCTGTATTTTATTTGATCTACTAGTCTCTTATTTCCGATTGGTTTTGGCATCAGAATTTATGTCCCTCCTTTTTTTCCAATTACCTGTGTTTTTAGTAGATTTTTCTTTGAGTACGTCCAGTGTGACTTTTCTTCCTTTCAGCCATGTAGAATCTCCATTAACTTTTTACCCTCTTAAAATATTAAACATATTGAATGCCTTGACTTTTTTTTGCATGTGTGTGTGTTTTGAGACGGTTTTGTTATACAGTAAGTCCCTGACTTAGGAAGGAGTTCCATTCCAGGAGAACATTTATAGGTTGGATTTGTTCATAAGCCTGACAAATAAAGCTTTGGTACTTCCTAGCAGGCCCTTTCACATACATCACCACTGCTTTTCATTTTGCTTTCAGACATACTGGGCTCTGATTGAGCACTGTACTACTGTACACTGTTGCACAGTGCAGTAAGCACACAGCAGTACAACTGTGACAATGTCTGGCAGATGTGAGTTACTTCTGTGATTTGTTCACATCTACCAGTGTTTGTAATGCGAGGTCCATTGGTATCTGTGAAAGTTCTCAGCTTGAATGGGTTTCAGGGACTTACTTTGTAGTCCAGGCTGGCCTTGAACTCACAATCCTCCTGCCTCAGCCTTTCAAGTGCTTGAATTACAGGCATGTGGGGCTATGCCTGGCTTTTATTTTTCAAAATTTTTTTATTTAAAAATTTTTTTTCTTTTGAAGGAGTGTCTCACCATGTAGTTCAGGCTGGCCTTGAACTCACTATGTAGCCCAGGGTGGCCTTGAACTCGAAGTGATCCTCCTGCCTTAGCCTCCAGAGTGCTAGTATTACAGATGGGCACTACCGCACCTGTTTACGCCTGGCTTTTAGTATCATGACATTTGAGTGGATTTCATCATTCATTGGTCATTTGGTTTGTTTTTGTAGTGCTGGGGATAGAAAACAGGGCCCGGTACAAGTTAGGCAAGTGCTTTACCATTGAGGTACACCCTAGCCCATATTGATCATTGGAAAATGATTCACTGAGTTATATAGGCCTTCAAAGTGTGGAGATTTAATATATAGTCTAAAAAATTATACTCATTAATAAAAAATATCACCACCATGCTCATCTTAAAATCTTGAAATACTGTAAAGCTATGCACTTCATATTATTAGGTATGTTTTCCAGAATCCTTATATTTATTTAAAAGGTCAGATTTTATCATTGACAGCAAATACAGTTATGTCAGTTACTTTCCTTGAAGTGACTGTTTCACTTGTTTCTTTTTTGAGATAGTATTTGCCAAATACCAAAGTTTAAGTAATCAGTTTGTCTGTCATTCATTCTTTTAACTGAAAATGGTATTCCTCGAAAGCAGTGGGTAGTTGAGCCAGGAGCTCAACTGCACCTGAAAAGACATGTGCTCAAGGGTTGAGATCTTCCCTTTTTGGTTTTTTGAGACAGGATCTCACTGTGTAGCCCAGGCTGGTGTTGAACTCGGTGATTCTCCTGCTTCAGCCTCCTGAGTGCTAGGATTATAGGTGTGTACCACTACACCTGGCTAAGGGTTGAGATTTAATAAAACAATTTTTGGTATATCATTAGGATATTCTTAACTTTTTTTTTTCAGAGCTGGGATTGAACCCAGTGTCTCATGCACACTAGATAAGCACTTTACCACTGAACTGCATCCCAACTTTTTAACAATTTTATTTTAAGATAGAGTCTTGCTGAGTTGCTCACTCTGGCCTTGAACTTGGCAGTCCTCCTGCCTCAGCCTCCTGAGTTGCTGGGATTATAGGCATGGGCCATCCTGCCTATTTTTTTCTTAACTGTGCTTGCATGCTGGGAACAAATAGGATGACTACTTCCATGGTACCAGCAATTTTCTGTTTTGCTATTATACCATCAGTATGTTTTTTTTTTTTGGTATGGGGGATCGAACTCAGGACTTTGTGCTTTCGAGGCAGGTGGTAGCACCACTGAGCTAAATCCCCGGCCCTAGTATGTTTTTTCTGAGAATAATTTTGACCTCTTACCTACACTGAGAGAGTCATTTTTTCAGGGGTTTCTAGACTATACTTTGAGAACCAATACTTTTGGATATTTATCAAAGACCTTTTCAGGCTGAAGGTGACTGTCCATTGGTCACAAATACTTAGATTGAGGGGAGTTAATTGCTATAAAGGAAGAAAGGTTGAAGCTTATATTCAATGAAGACTTTCCTGATTCTCGTTTTTTTAATTTTAATTTTTGTTAGTACTAGTTTGTAGTGCATAATGATTAAGTTATCTGATTTTAATTTTACTTGTGGGCTGGAGATGAGGTAGATAAGTGATAAGTGGCAGTGGAGGTTTTATAAAACACTTTTCATTGTGTCTTCCCTTCCAAATTTAGTTGAGGCAATCCTGGAGAGCTGAGGGCTGGCAGGATTTCGGGGGCTGGCACAGCAGGCAGAGTAGCTAGTATGCCTCTGCAAAGTGCAGCTTAGAAATATGCAGCAAAGGAACCTTCTTTTTGTGTACCTGATTAATTCAAACATAGAGACTCAAGAAACAAGGTAGATGAAATATAACACTGGAAATTTAGAAACATTTACTCATAAATCTAAAACCTGGGCCCGGGGTTTAGCTCAGTGGCACCATGCCTGCCTCAAGTGCAAGGTTCTCAGTTAGATCCCTGGTACCCGGTACCCCCCCCCAAAAAAAACCTACCATCTAAGGATGCCAGGATTTTAAAAGGTAATCCTTAAGGGATTGAAACAAGCAGTAAGTTATGGTCATCAGGGAGTAGCTCAAATTGTTCACATAACTGCATTGTGCTCTCTGTGGAACTGTCTGTCAAGGACTCTAGAGTTGACAGTTACAAATGTCATCCTCACAGATGGAACAGGAATGGTGCTTTTTGGAGTTAGGTGTGCTATAGCTCTACTGTACACACACTGCGCAGGAAGTAGAGGATAAATTTACCTTTAATGGAAGCTACATTCATTTTATAATTTCAAAATGTTATGATTTTTTAAACACTATTTCTCAGCACAGAGAAAAAAATACTTTTAACATTTTTGGGAGTACTTTGTAGAGTGGAGGTCACTACTTGGCAGAAGAGAATGTTGGAGGAAGGCATCAGCTTTGTTGATTTTCTTTTTTTCTTTTGGTGCTGGGGATTGAACTTGTGACCTTGCGCTTGTGAGGCAGTTAGCAGCACCACTGAGCTAAATCCCTGGCCCTTGTTGATTTTCTTAATTGTAAGGTTTTACCTCACTGCCTGATGATCAGAGTCAAAAGTACAGATCTCCTGGAAGTGTACCAGCTGGAGAGAAAGCCACACCCTTCTTGCCATCATATGTCTACCCAAGTCAAACCCAAGAAAAGCTGCATGCTTCCAACATTTTATCCGATGAACAGAACTTCTGTAGAGTGACACATCATGATTTTGTTCTAACTTCAAAAAGTGCTCCTTCCAATTTGTTTTATGAGTCACAATATCAAGAAACAATTGTGAAAAAATATGATTCGAAGGAAGAAAACCAGAACCATCCTACAGGTGAGTTCCTGGCATTTCTCTCTTCTGTTCCTACCTAACTACAAGCTATTGTAAGAGAAGACCTGGCCTTTCTGTGTTTTTCCAATCCTTTGTGGTCTTCATTGTAAGGTCTTACATGCTGCTTGGCCACTGTGCCTGGACTAAAGCCATGGCTGGGCTTGCATTTGATGTTCTAAGAACGGTTGCAATGCTCATGCCGACTTCAAGTAGCATATTTTCTAAAAAGAGGGGCAGCACTTTACCCATATACTATACTGTTTTTCTTTGAGAGCTTGGAAATAGTTTGAGGTTGATTAAAATGTGTGTGGTGGGCCGGGGATTTAGCTCAGTGGTTCCGCCACCTGCCTTGCAAGTGGAAAGTCCCGAGTTCGATCCCCGGTACCAAAACAAAAAAATGTGTGTGGTAATGGCGAGGACTGTGATGTAACACGTGAGGGAAATTGGTGGTATAAGTTACTACTCATAAATCTCTTCTAACCCAGAGACAAGGGTTGTCTTCATTGTACCTTGGTATTCCCAGCACCCAGCACAGTCCAGTTAGAGAACTGCCACTTAGTGCTAGATAGTACAAACTCAAGCAGCTTTCTTGGCATTTCTGGTGTGTGTTTTGTTTAAAAGTCTTATTTTGGGTTGGGGGAGTGTTGGGAATCTACCTCAAGACCTTACATGTGCTAGGCAAGTGCTTTACCACTGAACTACATCCCCAGCTCTATAGTCTGGTTTTTTTTTTTTTTTTTTGGTACTGGAGATTGAACTGAGGACCTTGTGCTTGCGAGGCAGGCATGGTGCCACTGAGCTAAATCCTCGGTGCAGTTGTTACTTTTATTGATACGGACTCTTACTTCTAGGGCTGGCTTTAAATGCCTGTGCCCAAGTGATCTTGGGCTTTAGTCTCTCAAGTACCTGCAACAATAAGCATGTACCACCATCCTAGCTATCTAGCCTTAAAAAATTTTTTTTTTTTAATCTCTCAAGTACCTGGGACAATAGGCATGTACTGGGCCGGGGATTTAGCTCAGTGGCTTCACCGCCTGCTGCGCAAGCACAAGGACTGGAGTTCGATCCCTGGTACCACAAAACAGCAACAACAACAAAAAACAATAGGTGTATACCACTCTCCTAGCTATCTAGTCTTCAAAAAAATTTTTTTTGAAGTCTTAGTCCTGCTTCCTCTTTCTCTCCCCCTTCCATTACATTGTTGTAGTTATGTTGTATGATAGTATTGTGTTCTTTTCTCACTCAATATGGAAAATTCTTATAGTATGTTTTATATATTATATAATCATACATATATATAACCGTATTATAATACTTGGCCCCAATATGCTAACATTCAAATTATATATCAGTGTTAAATATTCTTTGTGGTGGGACAATGTTGTTTCCAGTATTTTTAAAATTTAATTTTAATGTGTTACTCCATTGAGTTAATTATGTTGCAGAAAAATACAAATAATGTGCCAAATAGTATCTCTAGTTTTCATTTATGATTGGACACCTTTGTATTATATTTCTAATTTAGAGTAATCTGTTAACATGGAAAGCTTAAATGTCTTTGTCATCTTTTTTTGGTACTAGAGATTGAACTCAGGACCTTGCACTCGTGAGGCAGGCGTGGTGCCACTGAGCTAAATCCCTGGCCCCTTTGCCTTCTTTTTAACACAATATAGTTCCTTAAACTTTTATTTAGAAAAAAATTTTAAACATTCAGAAGAGTTGAAAGATTGCTGCAGTGATTATATGATTAATATTTTGCCGTATTTGTTAATATATATGTCTCTGTGCTTATATATCTACTATGTATATAATCTGTTCAACCATTTAACGGAAAGTACTATGCAGTGATCATGTTACTTCACTGCAAGTAATGTAGTGTGTATCAAGTAAGAATTAGGACATTCCTGTGTGTAACCAGAACAACATTATCATACCTAGGGAAATTAATAATTCCTCAGTATTCCAATCTGTGTGGGAATTCCATTTTCACAGAAATGTCATCTAAAGCTTTTAAAAAATATTTTTAAGGACATTGACATTAGCCTTTTGGAGAATGGCAAGTGTCCTAATTGAGATTTTGTAGTTTTTATTTTTCATATTAAAGAAATCTTTGAGTGTTTAAAGTTTTTGACATACATTACATTTTAATAAAAATTTTGAGATGTATAATAACTTGTAAAATTCTCATGTTTTAAGATTTTAGTCTACTTTTTTTGAACTAAATTGTTCCTAATTTTTATCCTAGGAGAAAATATTTTACCGCGTTGGGAGAAAATGACAGAACAGATTCAGGAAGGGAATGATATAAGCTTAAAAAAAATTGGTGATTCCTCAGAAGTGGTTAATAATGAAGAACGGTATCGTTGTGACCTGAATTTTTCTTGTTTTCACTTGAATGTGCTTCTAAGGATAAGGTTGATAATACAGCCTGTCACATACTGTCAGCATCAGGAGGAGGTTGGGAGATGCATCAGTTCAGTTAGCAAACTTTCTCACTTGGGAGAAACAACAGGATAAAATTAATCTCTCATATGGTTAAATTCTGTTATGGAGAAGAAGAATAGTAGAATCTCACATTTGGTATCATTTATGAATTGTAATTCCATAATTTAAGGTATAGAACTGGTTTATGGCAAAGATAGAGTATCTGTTTTATCTTTTAAATAGGCTTATTATTTCCTCAAGTATTTGAAATATTTTAATATATGTCAGTATAAGGAAAATGACTTTTGATTGTGGCTTTACTCAAATTGCTAAGAATCTTTCTTAATTTAAAAAGTACATATTGTGGTAGAAATGATCAAAGTAGGTTATGTGAATGTTTAAGAATATGCCAAAATGAAACCTCCAAGATGTATAACTAATATGCAGTAATTTAAAGAAAAGTGTTGGGGTTCAATTCTAAATACTGAAAAAAATACCCCAAATCATGTACAGAGTGTTATATATTTATGTATTTTTGGGGGGTTGTGGGGATTATAGCTTTCATTAGATTCTCAAAGGCGAATCTAAAAAAGGAGAAGCTTGACTTTGGGTTTTTAAAATTTTGTCTTGGTGCTGTGGATCACGCCTGGGGTCTTGTAAATGCTAAGTGCACATTCTGTCTACCATTGAGTTACACTCCAGACCCTTGACTTTGAAAAAAGTTAGTTCCTTGTGTCATTGGAGATATCTGTTTCAGTTACATTGAGTAAAATATCCACACTTACGACTTTCATGTTAAATTATTATTTTTTTTTATGATTAGGCCTATTAAAGCTACCATTAGAGAAAGGAAACAGACATTTGAAGACTACTTAGAAGAACAGATTCAGTTGGATGAACAAGAACTTAAACAAAAACAGCTAAGGGTAAGCATTTGAACTCTTTTGATTAAATTATTGTAAAGCTGTAGAGAGTTACTCATAATTTGCTTAAAAAATAACCTTTCGATTACATTGATATAGCAGAATTAATTAAAATATTGTTCTTTTATTTTAGGAAGCAGAGGGACAATTGATAATGAAAGCAAAACCCAAACAACCATTCTTAAAACGAGGAGAAGGTTTAGCCAGGTTTACTAATGCTAAATCTAAATTTCAAAAAGGGAAAGAAAGTACATTAGGGGCTAACCAGAACACTTCAGAGGATCAATCTCTGTTCAAAGTAGATAGTCAACAATTCCAGCGGAAAACTGCAGTTGTAAATAAAGAACTGTGTTCAGAGAACCTTACTGTTAAGAAGGAGAGTAAAGCTGGAAGCAGGACTGGTTTTGTCACACTCAGTCAGAAGCCAAAAGTGCCTAAGAGCAATAATAGGGAAAGTGTCTCTCCATCAGGATCAAAAATACAGACAGGGAAGACATGTAATGGACAATTTAAAGAGAAGATCAAGTTAGAAAAGAAAGTTGACTCTAACAAAGAAAATGAACCTGAGCGTACAAAGCCCTGTGATACTGGTTGCAAAGGATGGAATAAGACACAGGGGAAAGATAGACCACCTCTTTCCATAAGGCCTGTCAGCTGCATGGCTTCTAAGAGGCCCATAAGTGAGACGGTAGAGTTGGGCTCTTCTCTTGACATTTCTCTTCAGAAAAAATTAGAGTATTGGGAACAAGAAAAGGAAAAAGAAAGTTTGGAATTAGATGAATTTTTATTTTTAGAAAAAGCTGCTGATGAAATTTCATTTTCTAGTAATTCCTCATTTGTACTGAAAATCTTAGAAAAGGATCAACAGATCTGCAAAGGTCACCGGATGTCTTCAACCCCTGTCAAAGCTGTGCAACAGAAGACACATCCGGTGGATCTCAGGACCGAGAGAAACAGCAGTCAAGGTCCAGTCCCTAACCCTGCCCTTGAAAGTAGGAGTGAGCATGAGATCACAGCCATACCACTTGATTCTGCATCCTCAACTGATGGATTGAAGGAACTATCTTGCAAAATCAGTGGCAAAGCCTTCCAAATGAACACTTCTGAAGGTCGAATGCCATGGAATGTGAGTGATGATGAAGTTGCTACAGGAAGTGACAGTAGCACTGCCTCTGAGGAACAGCTCGATATTACCATAAAGCCACCCACAGAGGACACAGAGGGAGGTTTCAGCCACAGAGAGGACAGCCCACAAGTCTGTGATGGCAAGGGACCTTTTAGGGACACCAGGACTCAAGAAAATAGAAGGAGAGATGTTGACCTGGATTTATCTGATAAAGATTATAGCAGTGATGAGTCTGTTGTAACAGAAAACATGGAAACTAAAGTATCTGAACCCTCAAGAAGACCCTTGTTATTAAGTATGAGTAAAATTGACTTTGATGATGAAAGATCTTGGACTGACCTTGAAGAGAATTCATGTAAACATGATGTTAATCTTGAGGATGAAGCCTTTTACGAGATGCCACAGACAGGCTATCCTAACAGTGATGTATATGTCCTGGACAGAACAGTAAAAAGGAAAGTTGCACCAGTCAGGAAGGGAGATGACCTGAGCAAGTCTAATAGGAGTACAAGTCCCCCTCCCACATCAGATCTGATGATGAAATTCTTCCCTTCATTGAAACTGAAACCAAAATCAGATTCACACTTGGGAAATGAGCCCAAGTTAAGTCTGAGTCAAGACCAACCATCTGGTGAGTCAGCAGAATATTTATCACAATGTTACAAATGTAACATTATTTTACCAGTATGTTGTAAGAATATATATATATATATATATTTTTCATACCAAGGATTGAATTTGGATCCTTGCGCTTGTGAGGGAGGTGGTGTTGTGAGAATATTTAAAATCCTAACATTGTTGCTCAGTAGATGTCAACTTTAGTGGGTAATATGTAAAAATTTATTTTGATTTTTTTTTTTTGGTGAGGTTGGGGAGAATGGAACTGGGGTCCTTGTGCTTGCACAGCAGGCGCGAAACCACAGAGCTAAATCCCCGGCCCTATTTTGATTCTAAATAATGTAGTCACTAGTATAAAGAGATGCAGAGGAACTGTTGAGACTCCTTTTTTCCTTTATCTCAGTGGTGCTTGGGATGGAACCCAGGACCTCATGCATAGTCATTAAGCACATACCTTCCCAGCCCATAGCTTGCTGCCTGCCTGCCTGCCTGCCTTCCTGCCTTCCTTCCGATATAGATGTTACTCCAGAACCTACTAGATATCCGAAACGAGAGTTTGTGTTTTCTAAAAGTGAAGAATGAATTCTAGGAACAATGGAGGTTAAGAGTAGGAAAACTTTATTGAGAGAAAGATAGCTTCTAAGAAAGACCGAAGGGACACCAGAAAATGAGTTATCTGCTCACCCTGCTTCTGAAAGGTGTTTTATGGGACAAAGCCGTGAGGGATTGCAGGTGTTTACCATCACATAGGTCTGTTTCAATTATTTTACCACTTGGGCCTGGGATTTAGCTCAGTGGTTCTGCTGCCTGCCAGTAAGCACAAGGACCTGAGTTTGATTCCTGGTACCAAAAACAAAACAAAACAAATAAATAAGTAAATAAATTATTTTACCACCTCACACATTAAGTTACCAAACCTGAGCAAGAAAGCATATGGTGGGTTGGGGATTTAGCTCAGTGGTTTCACCACCTGGTGCACAAGCACAAGGACCCAAGTTCGATCCCTAGTACCCCCCCGCCCCCCCCCAAAACAAGCATATGGTACAGTAGGCTTCCTTAGATCCCCAACAAGGATAGTATTTACCCCTATAAATACTGTTTTTTCTTATCCATTCACAATTTTCACTTAAAGGAAGCAGTTTGTGGATTTTCTTTGGCATATTCAAATTGCCAGCACCATTGCTCTTGTGCTTTGACTCCATTATTAAGAAAAATAAGGGTTATTTGAACATAAGCATTGCAATGCCACAATAGTCAATCTGATAATTAGATGGCCACTGAGTGACTCATGGCTGGGCAGGGTGAACAGAGGGATGATTCACGTGCCAGGCGGGATTAAAATTTGTTGATTTCTGGAATTTTCCACTTAATATTTTTGCCCTTTGCTTGACTGTAAGAAACTGAGGGAAGTAAAACTGGATAAGGGTGACTACTATAAAAATAACTTTCTGGGGCTGGAGATTTAGCGCAGTGGCACTGTGCCTGCCTTGCAAGCACAAGGTCCTGAGTTCGATCCCGAGTACCAAAAAAAAAAAACACCCCAAAAACCCCAAAACCTTTTTGTCCTTCACTAGCTCTGGTGATAGGTGCCTTTTCTTAGTGGTACCAGCATTACCATTTTATTTGTGTACTCTGAATGAATTGCTCATATTAAACATATGTGTGAGTGCATGTTTAATTCTTTCCTACACAAATGAAAACATTTTAAACATTTTCCTGTACCTTGTTTATGATAAAATTTGAAGATTGTTCTAACATATACATCTGCCTCCTTCTGTTTAATGGCTGTGTTGATGTGATGGCCTTTTCAAGATTTTATTGAAAAATTCCTTTTTATTTTATTGTAATACAAGCTGTGAATTCCTAATAGAGCATTAGGGTGCTTTAAAATGTAAGTTATGATTTATTTAAAAAACATTCTAATTTTAAAAGTAATACTTTTTGCAGGAAGTTTGAAAGCTTAAGAAGTAAAGAAGCAAAACTGTTTATAACTAAACTTTCCAAAAGTGACTGCTGTATCATTTTTGGGTACTTTCTTTCAGTCATTTTTCCTCTGTATTTGTAATATGATAGAGACATGTATTATAAACTGGCCTCATCCTGTTAGTCTTGTATTTTACAGAAGGGTAGTACCACATGATAAAATGCTTATTTCAGTTGAAGGACAGAAACAGTGACTATTTTACTATTTTAAAGAGCAAATTAGATAAAAGAAATAAATCTTGATGTGTATTTCTTTGATTAGTAGCAAGAGGCAACAAACTTTGATTTTGGTGTTAATTAGCCCTTTGAGATATCTTATAAATTTTATTTATTTATTTATTTACTTACTTTCTTTGTGGTACTGAGTTTTGGACCCAGGGCCTTTGCACTGAGCTACATCTCCAGCCTTTTAAAAAAATTTTTTTTATTTTGTGACCGGGTCTTTCTAAGTCACTATGTTGCCGATGCTGGGCTTGAACTTTTGATCCTCCTGCCTCAGCCTGCCTGAGTGCTGAGATTATAGGTGTGCACCACCATACCCAGAATTTATTGGTCTTTTAAAACATTGATTTGAAGGGCTGGGGATTTAGCTCAGTGGTTCTGCCACCTGCCCCGCAAGGACCTGAGTTCGATCCCTGGTAACAAAAAAAAAATTGATTTGAATGATTTCCTTTTATCTATAATGTTGATTTCTTGTCAAGTTGATATTCTTGAATTAAATTTATTCTTTCTGAAAGTTAGGCCAGTTTTGTTTTCCTTTTTTCTTTTTGCTGTTTGAAACTTTTATTCTAATGCACCGTGATGGTCAAGGGTTTTGTCATAGTCTTGGCTCTTAGTAGTAGAAGGTAGCTGTATTTTCGCTGCTGTGAGACCTGCTGTGAAATTCAGTATTTGTGACCTGTTTTGCAGGTGACAGTGCTCGATCCCAGGCTTTGCGAGAGAAAGTTGTTGAACTGGAAACAGAAATAGAAAAATTTAAAGCTGAGAATGCCTCCTTGGCTAAGCTTCGGATGGAACGAGAAAGTGCCATGGAAAAACTCAGGTATGTTTGTGTCTTGAGATGAGAAAATTATTCTTAAAGACTGTGTGTAAAATATTTGAGTTTTTTTTAAATTTAAATTTTATTTTATCCCACTCCCCCCTCAAGCTCTGTCCCCTCCCTATGTACAAAAGCTTTGTTTCCATTTTTTCCTTTAATTTTCACTTTTTTTCTTGTCCCTTCCTTGCTTTCTCCCTCCCTCCTCCCTTGTTCCTTTCCCTATTTGAACACTTTCTTCCCATTTCCCAGCATCGATTATACATCTCAGTTCTTACTTCCACTTCGGGTTTCTCACACCAGAGAAACAATGCAGTATTTACACGTGTGTCCAATTTATTTCACTTAGGAGTATGGTCTCAAGGTCCATCCATTTAGCTATAAATGTCTGAAGCTCATTCTTCTTTATGGCAGAATAGTACTCCATTATATAAAAAACCCACATCTTCTTTATCCACACATCAGTTGATGGGCATTTGGTCTGTTTCCAAGATTTAGCTATTACAAACTGTGCTACTATAAACAGGGTATGCATATATTGCTGTGATGTGATGTTTTTAATTCTTTCGGCAAGATACCAAGAAGAGGTATAGCTGGGTCAAATGGAACCTCTAGTTTTAGTTTTTTGACAAATCTGCACACTGATTTCCACAGTGGTTGCACCAGTCTACACTCCCACCAACAGTGGAGAAGGATTCCTTTTTCCCTCCAGCACCTCCAGCATTTGTTACTGGTTGATTTCTTGATAGCAGCCATTCTTTCTGGAGTGAGATGGAATCTCAGCATTGTTTTAGTTTGCATTTCACGAATGACCAGTGATGTTGAACATTTTTTCATATATTTATTTGCCATTTATAATTCTTCATCTGAGAAGTGTCTTTTCATTTCAGATGCTCGTGTTTGCATTGGGTCTTTAAATATGAGAAATCCAATTTTTTTGAGTTCTTCATATATTCTAGATAATAGTCCTTTATCTGAGTAGCTGGTAAAAATTTTTTCCCACACTGTGGGTTGTCTCTTCACTCTGTTGTTGGTTTCTCTTGATGTGCAAAAGCTTTTTAATAAGATGGGGTCCCAGTTATTGATTCTTTGTAGTATTTCCTGTGCGGTCTGGGTTTTGTTCATGAAGTCTTTGCCTACTCCTATGTCCTCAAGCATTCTACCTATTCTCTCTTCCAGCAGATTTAGTGTTTCTGTTTTAATATTTAGATCTTTGATCCATTTTGATTTTAGGTTAGTGCATGGTGAAAGATAATGGGTCTGGTTTCAATCTTTGGCATGTGGAAAGCCAGTTTTTCCAGCACCATTTATTAAAGAGGCTATCTTTTTTCCAGTGAAGGTATTTGGCTCCTTTGTCAAAGATAAGGTGGTTGAATATGTCTGGAGTTGTTACTGAATCCTCTAGTCTGTTCCATTGATCCTCGGGTCTGTTCTTTTGCTAGTACCGTGCTGCTTTTATCACCATAACTTTGTAGTGTAATGTAAAGTCAGGGATTGTGATGCCCACTGCTTTGCCTTTGTTGCCCAGAATTGCCTTTGCTATTCTAGGTCTCTTCTGGTTCCAAATGAATTTTAGGATTTTTTTTTTTCTTTTTTTTTTTGGTGGTTGAATTCAGGACCTTGCATTTGTAAGGCAGGCATGGCACCACTGAGCTAAATCCCTGGCTAGGAGTGTTTTTTCTAATTCTGTGAGATAGTCTCTTGGGATTTTGATGGGGATTGTATTGAATCTGTATAACTATTTTGGAAGTATGGCCATTTCCACTATATTGGTTCTTCCTATCTAAGAACAAGGAATCTCTTTCCACTTTCTTATATCCTCTTCAATCACTGTAGTTTTCAATGTAGAGGTCTTTTACTTCCTTCGTTTGATTGATTCCTAAGTATTTCATATTTTTTGGATGCTATTGTGAAAGGGATTGTTTCTGTAATTTTTCTCTCTGTGAGCCTGTTATTCATGTACAGGAAGGCTATTGACTTTTTTTTTTTTTTTTTTGGTACTGGGGATTGAACTCTGGACCTTTCACTTGTCAGGCAGGCACTGTGTGGCTGAACTACATCCCTGGCTATTGACTTTTGAGTGTTGACTTTGTATCCAGCTGTGCCACTGAATTTGGTTATCAAATCTAAAAGTCTTTTTGTGGAGTTTTTGGGGTTTTCTGTGTAAGGGATCATGTCATGCGCAAATAATGATAATTTAACCCCTTCCTTTCCTATCTTTATTCCTTTTATTTACTTCTCTTGTCTAATTGGTCTGGCTAGTGTTTCCAGAACTATATTGAGTAAGAGTGGTGACAGTGGACACCCTTGTCTTATTCTTGAATTTAGAGTGAAAGCTTTCGGTTTTTGTCCATTTAGTATGATGTTGGTTTGTCATAGTTGGCTTTTATCAGATTAAGATAAAGACCATCTATACCAATTTTCTGCAGGGTTTTTATCATGAATGGGTGTTGGATCTTGTCAAATGCTTTTGCTGCATCTATTGAGATGATCATACAGTTTTTTGTTCTGGGCTCTGTCAATATGGTATATTACATTTATTGATTAGCGTATGTTGAACCATCCCTGCATCCCTGGGATGTATCCAACTTGGTTATGGTGTATAACCTTGATGATTTGTTGCATTCTGTTTGTCAGTATCTTATTGAGGATTTTTGCATCTATAATTAGGGAGATTGGCTTGTGATTCTCCTTTTTGTAGATCCTTCTCTGGTTTTGAAATCAGGATAATGCTTGCTTCCAGGAATGAATTTGGGATTTTTACTTCACTTTCAATTTCATTAAAGAGTTTGAGGAGTAGAGGAGTAGCGGCATTAAGTCTTCTCTAAATTTCTTGTAGAATTCAGCAGTAAATCCATCATGGCCGGAGCTTTTATTTGTTAATAGTTTTTCATTACATATTCAGTTTCATTGGCTGATACTGGTTTATTTAGAATTTCTATATCTGTTTGATTCAGTTTTGGTAATTCATATGTATCTAGGAATCTGTCCATTTCTTCTATATTTTCCATCTTATTAGAATACAGATTCTTAAAGTAGGTATTGATGATCTTTTGGATCTCTGCAGGATCTGTTGTGATTTCACCCTTTGCATGGATTTGAGCCTTTTCTTTTTTTGATAAGGTTGGCTAAGGGTTTGTCAATTTTATTTAATCTTTCAAAAAAACCAACTCTTCGATTCATTGATTCTTTGTATTTTCTTAGACTCCATTGCATTAATTTCTGCTCTGATTTTTATCATTTCCTCCCTTGTATGAGCTTTGGGCTTGATTTGCTCTTTTTTTAGAAGCTTGAAGTTCAACATTAGGTTGTTCATTGAGCCCACTATGTTTTTCTGATAGAGGAATTCACTAGTATAATTTTCTTCGTGGAGTGCTTTCATTATGTTCTATAAGTTCTGGTATTTTGTATTGTCATTATTGTTTAATTGTAGAAATTTTGTGTAAAATATTTGAAACACTGTAAGTCAGTATAACATACAAATGCAAAGGAGGTGCAGTCTGTATCACTTAAGATTTTTTAATTAAGTAAAATGTAGTTAGGATTGTTGAAATTATCCTCTTGGTGGAGGGAATCATAATTGAAATTTGAAGATGAGTTTGAGCCAGGGTCAGTGGCACATAGCTATAATCTCAGTACTCTGCGAGTCTGAGGCAGGAGGATCTTGAGTTGGAGACCCCCTCTCCCCCCAATTCCAAGAAAAAAGAAAGGCAGTTTGGGGCCATGAATTCAAATGGAAACTTGCCTAGTGTGTTAGCTTCTTAGGGCTCCTGTGATAAGAGTCCCTCAAACTGGGTGTAAACCAAAAGAGATTTATTTTATCATGGTTTTGAATGATGAAAGTCCAGCATGAAAGCATTAGGCCACGTGTTTCTTCTAGCGTCTTGGTTGCTGGCAGTCCTTGGCTTACAGCTGCATCACTCCAGTCTCTGCCTGTGGTCAGGAGGCCCTCTTCTTGGTGTCTGTGTCTTCTGGTGGCATTTCCAGTGTGTATGTTTGTGCATCTCATCCCATGTCTGTCTCTTGTGTTCTCATGAGGACAGCGTTGTATTCCATTAAGAACCCACCCTATTCCTTTATGGCTTTTTTTTCCCATTAAGTTTATTAGTACATTTTAGGTATACAATACAGTTAACATTCATCGTTGGGAACTTGTACCTTTACATGATATATCTTGGTTCTTATTTTTTCCCCATTCCCCTTCCCTCCAGTCAGCCCCTCTACCCTTCCCTATTTACAGACACTTTGTTTCCATATTTTTCCTTTTCTCGTATTTTTTCCTTTCCCTTCTTTCCTTTCCCCTAACCCTCCCACTTCCCCTACCCCTTTTCTTCCCCTAGACCTTTTCTTCCTATTTCACATTATCTATTCTACACTTTGATCCTTGTTTACACTTTCAGTTTCTCACACTAGAGAAACTATTTGGTATTTCCACATGTGTGTCTTATTTATTTCACTTAAGAGTATGGCCTCAATGTGCATCCATTTAGCTATAAATATCTCTAGTTTCTCGTTCTTTATGGCTGAGTAGTATTCCATTTTATAAAAAAACCCCCACATCTTCTTTATCCAGTCTCCAGTTGATGGGCAGTTGGGCCATTTCCAAGTTTTAGCTGTTACAGACTGTGCCACTGTAAGCATGGGTGCGCATATATCTCTTTGGTGTGATTCTTTTTTTTTTTTTGGTACTTGGGATCGAACTTGGGACCTTGCGCTTGTGAGGCAGGCGGGGAACCACTGAGCTAAATCCCTGGGCTGATTCTTTTAATTCTTTTGGGAAGATACTCAACAGTGAAATAGCTGGGTCAAATGGGACCTCTAATCCTAGTTTTTTGAGATATCTCCATATTGATTTCCACAGTGGTTGCACCAGTCTGCACTCCCACCAACAATGGAGAAGGGTTCTTTTCTCCCCACAACCCCTCTAGCATTTGTTATTGGTTGATTTTTTTTTTTTTTTTTTTGGTACCGGGTATCAAACTTGGGACCTTGTGTTTGTGAGGCAG